GTCCAAGTAGGCATTCTAATATGCAGTCATGAATGGGATGACATTATACAATTATTACAATACTGCAGTAGTCTGCATAACAGTAACTCGTCTATTTTTTGTTTCAATAAAAATTCAAAATAGAAAGCAAGAGTAATATCAGAGGGGCTTGGAGACATGACTGATGAACAAAGAAAATGTTATTTTAGAGCCAAGAATGTCTGCATTGTTCATTCTGGACCCTATTTTGAAATTGTCATTTTTTTAATTTTTGTGAAATTGGCCAAATTGCAAATTTCTGACCACATTATTGGGAAGTTGAAATCAATAAATGGGCAGTTTCTTGTACTCACTCGATAGAAAAAATGGAGTTCTAAAGAAATAGCTACGAGTTTGGTCGACTGGTACAATGGAATTAGCCAAAAATAGGGCTCAAAGTGGGCGAAATCGCCGATTCGTAAATAGCGCCGAGGTTGCTAAATTTGCGAGAGCGTAATTCCGTCAGTTTTCCATCAAATTTTGTTCTTTTGGTGTCATTACAATCGGGAAAAGATTCTCTATTATTTCACAAGATTTTTTTTTTTCCAGAAATTTTGCAACACCAGGAGACACCTCAGGATTTCCCAGTAAAAGTAGGTCTTAGACAGGGCTGTGTGATGTCACCATGGTTGTTCAATATATTTCTAGATGGAGTAGTAAGAGAAGTGAATGCTCGGGTGTTGGCAAGTGGGAGTTGTCACAGTTACTCTATGCTGATGACACTGTGCTTTTGGTAGATTCTGAAGATATAGCTTTGGAGTGGTTAGCATTTATATTTAACCCTTTCAGGGTTGGTGCAGTACTAGTACGGCTTACGCGCCAGGGTTGGTGCTGTACTAGTATGCATAAATTCTAGCATCCTCAAATCAAGCAGGAAAAGGCTGGTAGTCCTGGATGTGAGAGAATAAGTCTCCGTGGTCGTGTGCACGGTATAAAAAAAATCGGGGATCCAGTGGTGCATTGTGGGAAAGCCATTTTATTACACCTTCTTCACCATGTCTAGTGGTAAGAAACTCCTCACTCCTCAGCTAATTGGGGCTCTTTTCTTCCCAAGTGACAGTTCAAACACAGATGGAAGTGTCAGTGAAGATGAATTTCATGGTTTTGAGGAGTTTGTGACTGAAAGCAATGCCCAGGAAACCAACCTGAAGGAAGGAAGGTAGAAGAAAGGGAGAAAAGGAGGAGGAGATGAGAGGAAGCAGGAAAGGAAGGAGGGAGGAAAGGAAGGAAGGAGGGAGGGAAGGAAGGAGGGAAGAAAGGAAGGAGACTATCAACCTAGGATAACTCAAAATATTCAGACAATGACTTATTTCCATGTTGGTTGGTGGGGTGGGGAGGAAGGGATGGGTGTTGACTGGCAGTGAGGGTGGTGTGATTTGTCACTGTGACACTAATTAGGCTGGTGACTCAGCATATTTACAAGTCCACCCCCACACAACAACTACGAGCTTTACAGAAGCTGTAGCAGTTCTGTGAAGTGTCCAGTGGCTTTATGTGTGTATATATGTGATAGAAAAATAGTAATAAACAACATTTTTTATTGTTGGTGTAAACACATTTTGTAAACAATATAATAACTGTTTATGCGGTTACTGTGTAGCATACAACGAGTGAATATACATTCAATATACCTTATATTGGTCTCACAGGCCAGAAAAGTTACTTGAAGGAAGGAGGGGAAAGTAGGTAGGAAGAGATGAGAGGAAGGAGGAGGGAAGGTAGGTAGGAAGAGATGAGAGGATGGAATGAAGGAAGGAAGGTAGATGTATGGGGAGGAAGGGATGTGTTGTGGAAGGCAGTGAGGGTTAGTGAGTGGTGGTATGATGCATCATTGTGACACACGACACATCGGTGACTCGGCATATTTACAAGGCCACCCCCACACTGCTACAAGCTTTCAGAACCTCTTGTAGTTATAGGAACATGTCCAGTGACTCTATATGAGTATACATATGATAGAAAAAGAGTAATAAACAACACTTTTGATTACTGGTTTGTGTAAACATGTTTTGTAAACAATATAGTGACAGCAAAGTTTGTGCTGTTAATGTGAAGAAATACAATGAGTGAATAATCCCAAAAAAGCCCTTTAAAATTGGTCTCGGGAGGCCAAAAAATTTTATTGAAATAAAAAAAAAGTATAAAAAATAAAAAAGTAGAAAAAACAAAATAAACTATTACGGGGGCCCAGCGTCGGCGATTTTTGCTGTATCCCAACTTAAATTTTCTTTTAAATTTTCATGCCCCCCTATCCTCGAAAAGGGGTAAAGATGGAAAAAAAAATTTTTTTGCCAAAAAAATTTTAAAAAAAAAAAAAAAAAACTATCTTTTCATAAAAAAATTTTTTTTTTCGAAAAAATTACTGCCCCTGAGAACGGGTTTGGCAGAGGACCGCCCACCCGAAAGGCTTACAAAATATGGGGAAAAGGGTAAGGTACCTAGGGGGTTGGGCAGAGAGCATAGTTTCCTTTGTATAAAGGCAAAGGGGCAAAAAAAAAGAGTGTAAAGATTTTTAGGGGGGAAAAAGTCTGTTGGTTGTATTAGTTCGTTGGGAAACAGCAAACCCCCCCGGGAGGTACTACCGTCCTTTCCAAGTGAGTTGGGAAAAAAGGAAGCCTGTAAATTTTTTTACTGATGGGAGGATTGCTGGTTTTCTTTTTTTTTTCTCTTTAAAATGAAAAATTTCAGGGATGTCTTGCTACTTCTAACCCTTTCACTTAGGTCACTACACATACAAGTACAAGCAAAATATATAACACCCCTTGGGTTTTCTTTAGTTTCTTTTTAGTTCTTGTTTTTTGTTTATTTCCCCTTATCTCCATGGGGAAGTGGGGGAAAAGAATTTTTTCGTCCATAAGCCATGCGTGTTGTAAGAGGCACAAAACCCGGGAGCAAGGGCCTGTAACCCCCCCCTGTAAAAAATTACAAAATTTTTAAAAAGAAAAATTGCATTTTTTTTTTTGGGAGCCCCTCCCTTGGGGGGATACAGCCATTTGTAAAAAAAAAAAAAAAAAGTCTGTGAAAACCCTGCTAAAGTGTAGGAAGTTATTATTGATAGAATTACAAGTAAAACGGAGAGCGGGATAGAGATGAAAAAGGGAGGCTTTGGGAAAGGGGGTAGGGGGGTGTGTAGACAAGTTTTACAGGAAACACATAGATAAACAGTATTGGAAAAGGGGGTAATTTTTTTTTGGGAAATTTTTTGGAATCGAAAAGGGGATATTATAGGGTAAAGGGGCAATGGGCAGATGCTGCAAATGATGGAATAGGGGTAGGTTATTTAGAAAGGGAGTAAAAATTTTTCAGATAGTGAGGCTAGGAAGATGTAGGGGAGAGAGGATTATTTCCCAGTTAAAATAGGGCTTAGATGGGATTGGTGTCACCATGGTTGTTTAATATATTTTTTATGGAGTAGTAAAAAAGTTGGGTTGGTGTTGCAAGTGGGATTGCACAGTTGCTCTTTTCTGATGACACTTCATTTTTGGGAGATTCTGAGGAAAATTGTAGAGGTTGGTTGAGAGTTGGTAGGTAATGAAAGAAGTTTAAAAATGAATATAAAAAGAATAAGGTGTGAGGATAACAAAAAAATTAGGAACAAGACTGGATTAAAATTGGAGGGAGAGGTTGGGGAGGGGAATGGTTTAATATTGGGGGGGACGTGTCTGCGATGGGGGCATGAAGGGTGAGGTGAATCATAGAATTGACTAAGGGAAAAAGGTGAGTGGTGCACTGAGGAGTCTGTGGAGACAAAGAACTTTATCTATTAAAGCAAAGAGGGAAATGTATGAGAGTATAGTTATACCAAGGCTCTTGTATAGGTGTGAGGCATGGGTTGTGAATGTTGCAACAAGGAGAAAGCTGGAAGCAGTGGAGATGTCATGTCTGAGGGCAATATGTAGTGTAAATATAATGCAGAGAATCCGTAGTTTGGAGATTAAGAAGAAGTGTGGGCTGAGGAGGGGTTATTGAGATGGTTTGGATATGTAGAGAGGATGGAACGAAATAGAATGACTTTGAGAGTAGACAAATCTGTAGTGGAGAGAAGGCAGGGTAGGGGTTGGCCTAGGAAAGGTTGGAGGGAGGGGGTAAAGAAGGTTTTGTGTGCAAGGGACTTGGACTTCCAGCAAGCGTGTGTGAGCGTGTTAGACAGGAGACAGGAGTGAATGGAGACAAATGGTTTTTAGGACTTGACATGCTGTTGGAAGGTAAGCAAGGTAACATTTATGAAGGGATTCAGGGAAACCGGCAGACTGGACTCGAGTCCTGGAGATGGGAAGTACAGTGTCTGCACTCTGAAGGATGAGTGTTAAGGTTGCAGTTTTATAACTGTAGTGTAGGCATGCCTCTGGCAAGACAGTGATGGAGTGAATGATGATGGAAGTTTTACTTTTTCGGGCCACCCTGCCTTGGTGGGTAATGGCCGATGTGTTAATAAATAATAGCTATAAAATGCATAAAAGTACTCTGTGTACCTAATATATATTATATATATATATATATACAATTTACATATATGCTAATACATACAATTTACATATACACTGCATTAAACATTGAAAATAAAGGAGTTAAAAGTACAATTTATCCAGTGGGTTTTGTTCATTATTTTAAATGTATGCTAGATTGAGGTTTAACTGTACCATTTTTTAAGAGATTTGTATTTGATTTTTTGTTGTGGGGCTTTTCTCTTGAGAAATTCTCTTAGATTTTCATGTTCAGTATCTTAGGAGAAACAGTATTTCAGATTGCTTCCTTTCTTGATTGAGCTGAACTGTACTGTACAGTATTCCCAAATTCAAAACATCTGAATATGAGCATCTAAATCTGCTACTGAAATTACTATATTCATGGGAAAGTATTAAATCCATAGGGATACCACAGTACCTGTAGTATCCAATTCCTTGGATCATGAGACCTTCACAGAGCCTGATATCTGAAGTTATAATAATAAAACTACTGTTCCACTAACAAAAATTACTTACGGTCTTTGAGGGTATGTATGGTATGTCCTAAAGATTCGAAAAATGGGATGCTTCATTGCTGCTGCAGCTGAGATCCTTTTTTTAGCTTCATACTAGAAAGAGACATACTGGGGTAAGTACTGAGTGTAGTTTTCAATCTTTATTGTTAAAAATTTAAAATATTTTAATACGAGTACTTGTATTTTATTAAAAGAAAAGTTATTTTACACAGACACATTGCTCAGCTATAAGAATACAGTAATTCAGAAACATTTTGAAAACCTGAAACATTCTTTTTTCCATCAGGGGCACAATCATTCACACCTCAAGACTCAGGACTCGCAAACACTCTAATTCACTTATTATTAGGGGCTCGTGTCTCTGCTGCACCAGCTGAGGTTCGAGCACTGTGCTCACAGATCATTTGACTGATCTCAACACAGGTAAGCCAGAACACAAGGAAATAGACTTGCTGGGAAGGGAGGAAGATCACCTTGAGCCAGGAGGTCCCTAACTCAGAAATACATTTTTAAGGTTTAAACTACCATATACGTATTAAGTTAGCAACAGAACTAGGCATTAAAAACAACAAAAAGTAAAATACACACACAGTACATTCATTACTTACCTTAAAATATTTGTAATCTTAATGTAGGGTGAGAGGTGAGTAGTATTTATTGTAAGAAGTCAGAGTGTGGGAGGTATGGTAGCCCGCCAGGCCACCCCACTCACACGTAATACACTTCGACATTTAAAGCGCCCCTAGAGTGATAAAATGCATATACAGTACACTCATTACTTACCTTACAATATTTGTAATCTTAATGTAGGGCGAGAGGTGAGTAGTATTTATTGGTAGGAAGTCAGGTGTAGGAGGTATGGTAGCTGCCCAGGCCACCCCACCCACACGTAATATACTACGACATTTAAAGTGCCCCTTGAGTGATAAAATGCATATACAGTACACTCATTACTTACCTTAAAATATTTGTAGTCTTAATGTAGGGTGAGAGGTGAGTGAATGAGGTAAAACGAATAAATGAGAGAGGAGAGAGACATGGAGTTATGTAAACAAGCAGATAAACAAGTCTGGTTTTAGTTCATACACATAACGTCTCATATTTATGTTAATTTATTCTACTGTGGGGTGTATTTACCATGTTTATATGTTACGTAGTATGTTTATTATATAATTCTGAAAAATATCATAGATGGATTAATGAAAATGTTTATATGTATTAATATAATATACGACATTTAATGTGCCTCAGAGTGATTATTATTGCATATTATTATTATTATTAATGTGAAGTCCTTAAGACTAATAGGACACACTTAGTGATTTTAATGTGTACCTGCATGCCAGCACAGTGTGCAAGTTTATTTAGATACAGGTACACATAAGTATAATTATCAAAGTATACACTTGAAATTTTGGAAAGTCTCTGGACATATTGGACACTGTGCTCACAGAGAATGTAAACTAACCGGGTGGGGTGCAGTGACCGTATTAGAAAGTCAGGTGGGGGAGCCATATAGCGAGTTTTGGTCATAATTTGAAATGTCTGTATTAGCTGAATGCCATAAAGTGGGGCCCTACTGTATCTGAATACATTCATTCTCTTCTTCCATAATCCCTCCCTCTAATCTGATACCCAGTCTTTCATTACCTAATTTTTTGTTACCCTCATCACCTTGCTCTTCCCTATGTTCATTTTTAATTTCCTTCTTTTACATAGACTTCCAAATTCGTCCACCAACCTGTGTAACTTATCAGAATCTCCTAAAAGCACAGTGTCATCAGCAAAAAAGCAACTGCAACAACTCCCACTTTGTATTTGATTCTTTATCTTCCAATCCCACACCTCTCCCCAACACTCCTGTATTCATTTCTCTTACAACCCCATCTATAAATACAGACACTCCTCACTTAGCGACATCATTTACCGACCACTTAATAGTTACGACCGGCTCTGACCAGACGGTATTATATGCCGTATGAGAACCTGGGTCATGGAAACAGGCAGCGCGGTGTCTCAGCGTTAAGATATCAGTTTTGTTCCTGCAGCCACTCTACACTAGTTTTCACAGACTCCAAGGTTACATATTTGTACTTTACTATGCACCCTCATAGTACAAGATGTCGGTGAAGAGGAAGATCTTGACTTCAGCTTGACTACAGCTCCTGATAATCCTGCTGATAACTCTGATGATGACCCCAACCCGGTACTCTGATGGATTCAATGACTAAAATGTTAATCTGAATGTCTCTTGTTATACTGTAATTTGAATTTTTTGGTACATCATTTTTATACTGTACAGTAATTATAATTTTCTGTAATATGTAAGACTTATGCAAGTTAAAACAAAGTTATCAAGTTAGTTTTCTTTAAACCTTTTTTTTAATTCAGAATAAAATATTTTAAATGGTTATTATAAATGCTTGAAGTATCGATAAGAGGTAGTTCCTTGCTTAGCAACAAATTCATTTACTAACGTGGCCTTAGGAACGGAACTCTGTCGTTAAGCGAGGAGTGTCTGTGTATTGAACAACCATGGTGACATCACACATACCTGTCTAAGGCGTACTTTTACTGGAAAATAATCCTTCTAAAGACTCTTAAATGCTTTCATTAACTTACCACCTATTCCACACACTTGTGACATTGCTTTCCTATCCACTCTATTATAAGCCTTTTCCAAACTGAAAAATTCAATGAAAACTTCTTTACCCTCATCTAAATACTACACACTTACCATATTTGATGGTGTCGAAGACACTATTTTTTTTACTCAATGTCTTGGAGGCCGAAGGTTACATAAGAAAGAAGAAGCACTGCAGTAGACCTACTGGCCCATGCTATGCAGGCCCAAGTCACAACTGCATTGCTCAGAGGCCTCAACCTAAGCCTAGAGAAGTTTTTTTATACTAAACAATAATCTAAGTTCCTGTATATGACCCAATAATGAATCATGTAAACTATTTTGTATAAAATAATGAATAAATAAAAATAAATTTAACATTTTGTTGGCGCTAAGCAGCGGTAGGCTAAGGTAAACCAGGCAATGGAACTGGATGAACTACAGTAGTACTGGAAAGCTAAGTCGCCTGTTTACCATCAAACCACCCAGTAATATTTTTACTCACCTCAAATGATTCTGATATTAAGGGAACATTATCAGATATAAAAAGCAGTGCAGTGGTACCATGACTTATGAGTTTAATTCATTCTGTGACTGAGCTCGTAACTCGATTTGCTCGTACAGTGGACCTTTGGGTAACGATTTTAATCCGTTCCAGAGAGCTTGTCCTTAACCGATTTTATTGTTAGCCGAATTAATTTTCCCTATAAGAAATAATGGAAATCCAATTAACCCTTAAACTGTCCAAACGTAGATCTATGTCCACGTGCAGGGGGGCTCCGAACGTAGATCTACGTTTTTTTACATGCTTTCAAATGGGGAAAATCAAGGTCGGAGCGCTACGCATGTGAACAGAGATCTACGTTTGGACAGTTTAAGGGTTAATTCGTTCCTGCTGTCAGAAGGCTTGACAGAATAGTATTTCAATATGACACTATTATTATCAACTCTACGGCTTATTTATCTATCACAATTAATCTAATATGACATAATAAACAATGTTAATAACATAGAAACATGATATATACTCTAGAATGATTAAAATATGTCATAATGTATGTGAGGATAAGTGATGGAATTGTTGTTGGGTTTATAATGGCCACTGAGAGAAGCCGTACAGGATTCTGTCACCAGCACTATCCACAAACAATATATGAATGTAATTTATGATATTGTAAATTGTTTCCTCTAATTTTTTTTTTTTTTTTTTTTTTTTTTTTCAACAAGTCGGTCGTCTAAAAACCGAGGAAAGGGTGACCCAAAAAAAAAAGAAAATCCCAAAAAGAAAAAAACTTTCATCATCATTCAACCATTTTCCCCACACTCACACTTTATCACTCCCTTTTGCAGGGTGCTCAAAATACAAAAAAGTTTAAGAACATATACGTTTTAAAAGGGATACACAACATTTCCCCCCCAAAACCCCCAATTACCCCAAACCCCTCCCTTTTAAAGTGCGGAAATTGAAATTTCCCCCTTTTCCAGGACTCTTCCGACTATAGAAAAAAACCCGGGTTTTCCCCCCGAATCCCCTTCACAAAATTTTTAACCCTGCCACACCCAACAGATCGTCAGGTCCCAAGACTTTTTCGTTTTCCATTCCCCTCCATCAAAACCCCTTTAAAAATTTGCCCCGCTTCGGGAACCCCCCCCCCCCCAACCCCCTTTCGCCCCCAAAAAAACCCCCCTTTTACCCCCCCTTTTTCCCCAAACCCTTTTTTTTCGGGGACGACCCCTACCCCTCTTTCCTTCCCCTATAGAGTTAAAAAATTTTTCCCATGTCATTCTACTTTGTTCCATTTTTCTTTTTAAATGACCAAACCACCTCAAAAAACCCCTTTTCTGGCCCTCGAACTAATGTTTTTTTAACTCCAAAACCTTTTCCAAATTTTCCCAAACATTTCCGAATTTTCTGCATAATATTTACACACAAAATTGCCCTTAGAAAAGGAAAACCCCACTCCCCAACCGTCCCCCCCCGCTGCGGGCATTTACCCCCCAAAGCTTCACATCCATATAAGATTTGTTGGTACACTATACTTACATACTTTCCCCTTCTTTGTCTCCCATAGAAAACTTTTTTTTGACTCCACAAATCCCTTTTCAATGAAACCACCACCCTTTTTTCCCTCATAAATTCTATGTTTAACCTTTCATTTTTTCATAAATCCACCCGCCGACACGCCCAACTCCAAGTATCTAAAAAAACTTCACTTTTTTCCATACTCCTCCCCCCCAATTTGATACCCAAATTTTTTCCTTTACCCTAAACTTTTTGAAAACCCTCATCCCCTTTACCCCTTTCTATTTTCACTTACAACTTTCTACTTTACCCACATTCTCAAACTCATCCACAAACCCTTTTTTGAAATTTTTTTCTTTAGAATCCCCTCCCAAAAGCACATTAAATCAGCAAAAAGTAACTGTGTAAATTTCCCCATTTTTAAATTTTTTTTTCCCCCATTTTTTT